TAATCTAAAAAGCTTCAATGTGGGGGCGGGGAGGGGAGGGGGGGAGGGGAAATAAGGGACGTGAAGGAGTACGCTTTTACAAGCGTATTAAAAAGTTCCAGTTAAAAGCGGAGTACCGCTTCAAAATACGACGCAATTAATTAGATGGGGTTCAACGTATGTGACTTTTTCCTCATCGAGAGCCTGTGCTACGTAATAAGTATTTACGTGCGCGAGAGAAATGAATGGGAAAACGGATGAGAAGTAGTAATTCTCAATAGAGAAAAAGATAGTAGCCAGCTCTACAGGGATCTGGCTTCGCTCATTGTAGTCGCGACATAATGTCCTTATGGAAACGACCGTAGGACGCCACGCGCAAGAGTGCATCCCTATTGCACTCATGCAAAAACCACTGTGTGCCCGGGAACGCGATTTATCGCGGTCGAGAACGTACTCTTGTACGCCGTAAAGACGAAATTAAACGGCGTGGGCGGATTATTCTCGTAAGTCGCATGAAGGCAGACGGACGTCCATGTCGGACGTGGGCACACCTCGCGATGAGGGACAGATGATACCGCGAGAATATCCGATACGTGGTAAAAAACGCGCGCGAGATCGCCTTTATGGTCACAACGACTTCGCGATATGGCATCAGCTACGAAACGTACGCGTATTCCTTCTCTCAATAAGAAGGCAAACGCAAATAAGGACAAGTTATCTGTCAATTAAAAATGCTTAAATGTTGAGAAAATTGTTACCTACTACTACTCGCTATAAAGATTGAGTTTTAAACGCGCAGAAATTTCACATAGAGCGCGAAGAAACCGCCGTTTGCGTATCGCTGTCTCTCCGACGACTCTTTTGACACGAGTTTTGAAGAGCTTCTTTTATCCTTATTTGCTCTTACATCTGTAAATAACGTTGAATGATTTTTTTTTACGCGCGCGCGTACGCGTGTTGCTCATGCTTTCCTGCGCCGGGAATAAATTTTGTGCCATTGCGTTTCCATAAAATCCAGATGTTAATGGATGCGACCTCCTAGCTTAATCAAGTCGCGAAGGTGTTGCTTGCGGCAACAACGATCGACGTTTGTCCACGTTACACGTTGTATGTACATAAAGAATTCGAGGCTAAGTTGACATTTGCGTGCGAGGGCGTCGTCGGTAAGTTGCTCAATAAACGTGATAGTATTAATGTGTTCGAAAAAAATCTCTTTGGGCGATCGAATAGTAGATTGATTCACAGTGCGCCATGCTTGATAACGGATAATCATCGTCCTTGGACACGACGGATTCTTTTGGCTTCATCCTATTACTTATTACTTCTCTGAGTCCATTTCGTGGAACTTCAAGGCGTTAATGAAGCGCGTTACAAGTTGACGTAGAGTGGTTCTGGTAACTTGACATTGAAATATGTATATTCTTCATGAAAGATTTGCATTCTTTTAAAAGATATTAAAAAGAGAAAGAACGAGAAAAATCTTGCGGACTTTTTTATAAAGTACTCGAAAGAGACTGAGAAGCGTTGAATAATTTGGAAAATTAAAGTCGCAATTCAGATTGAATTACTTTTATAAATATGTAATACTTCATTTTTGAAAAATTTGACAAAAGAACCAGGACGAGGATTTTATGCATCATTTATGTAATATTTCAAAAAACCTGTAGAGTTCGAGGACATCGAATGCTCTCAAGAAAATTGCTTCAGGCAATTGGATATCGATTTTGTTATGCGGGATAATGCATAATCACTGTTCTAAGAATAACGGTTTCTTTTAGCTTCTCCGGCCGCTCTGGACTCGAGTTTCTTACGGAGAACGCTTGGAGGTGTTAACAAAGTCCTTCTCGTGAAACACATTATAAGCACCTGAGTTCGCAGCTGAGATCGCACCTGAGTAAAAACTTGGTCGACTATCAAAACTAACTATTGAAAATTGACGTAACGCGATTAAAGCGCAATTAGACGTTTTTGTATACAATGACGTAGGTGGATTCTGAAGGCCGCAAAGGCCACTTTAACGATAATCCTAGTCGGTAGAGAGAGGTATACGACCGTAATCAGTAACGTGCTGAGGCGTGCCAAACAAAGGATCATCGATGACGAAGACGGCTGCTTGCGCCATTATTGCGTTACAAACTATTTTTGTAACCTGCAGATCGCCTCCGCGCGATGTTTATTACCTTTGTTAAGTCGTTAATATTCCATGATTACCGGGACGGTGAAACTCGCCGAAAACACTTATCAAAATTCACGATATATGACGACGTTCACATCCTCGTCGTTTTTATCTTTATAATGTTTCCAACAAACATAAAAATAAGCCAAAAGATAACGGAACTTAATTACGATGTTAATTATGTTATCTCATTATTTTTTAAATAATTCATTATTATTATCCATTCAAATTCAAAATAATTTTATTATTTTTATCATTTTACATTATCTTATTTTTAATAATTTTATTATTTTGTTTGTTTTTTTTTTCTACTATTTTAAAATTATGCAGTATATAATGTGATAACATACAAAGTTGACTTGTTAGTTTCCTCGTCGCGCAAGTGCCATCTCGAAAATAAATGGCTAAATTGTTGACGGATATTGCTGCGATTGAACGATATCGTTGAAGCGACACAATCGCTCACAATGACACAGATCGAAGCAAATGAGATTCTTCTTCGGTTCCTGGCATCCGTCGCTGACGAGTCACGCTGCAACAAATTTATCAATTCGGTTTTCCTATCGCGCCACCCGTGGCGATTATAAATCCACCCACTGAAAGGAAGCGCGCGCCTTTTCGAGGTTCTGTGTGCTCAGACGCAGAACATTGGTAGCCATTATGACAAGCGAACCGCTCAGAGAAAAAGAATATAAAAAGAATAAAAAGAAAGAAAAACCAAAAGGCTCGCGCCTTTCTTGGATATGTGTAATTTATCCTACGGATAGTTATTTATAGAGAGAGACACATAAATTTTCTCGCTTGAGAAGAAGAGGTTAAACAATCATTATGCTCTCCGTACACATGCCGAAGAAGACAAATACGGAATTCTCCTTTCAAGATGCAATGATTGAAATCGTGAAATTCGACGAGAGACCACACGACGCCCGGAGTTAATCAGGTTACAAGAGAGATTTTCATTTTCTCGCTTTTTCTTCTCGCTTCTTATTATGCTAATATATAACTCGCTCTTTTTATAAACCTGTTTAAATCCCCGACGCATTCCCGTCTTACTCGATCCGCGGGACATTAAAGAGGAAAGAAGAGACCACAACGAGAAAATTCAAGCCGCGCCATTACGAGCGGCATGGTAGAAAGCGGCTATGATGGGGACGGCGTCACGACCGCGGCTGCAAAACGAAGCGGGTGCGAGCGGTCGCCGCGAGAACGATCGCAGCGTACGATACGGTGTCGAGGAACCCGAGGAGAGGAATACCTTTCCCCGGTGCAACACATATTCGAAGGAGCGAATATGTGTTGCACCGGGGGGAGGGGGGGGGGGAAGGGAAGAGGAAAGTCGCGTACGCGCGCACGTCGGCGCGTGCCATAAGCGTCGCCCACGCGCGACACGCGCGGAAAGATTTTCTATCTACGGCTCCGGCTACGTCCCTCTCGTCTATACTCTCTTCGTTTACGCCGTTTACGCCGTCGGAAAAACAAAAGTTGTGAGTGCATGTAGCACCGATCTCGGAAAAATTGCCGGCATTTCCGTACGAAGATTGCGTACGTCTTTTTACGACATCAATTTAGCACAGAGTTTAGCTGCTTAGCATTAAGTTGCCTTTCTCTAACATTTTAATTGACTTTTAATTGACTTAGACATATCAATTCATAAACACTACTTGGGAAATGTAGCTTTTCATATCCTCTGGTGAAACGTGGTGAACGTGGTGTCTGGTGTAAACGCACAACAAGGCGATACGCACACGCTGGATCTCCACGCCGGCGACTGCGTCATTGCGAGCGTCAGTAGTTTCGGTGCTATGCCGTGAAAGATAAAAGAGAAAATTCCACGTTGCATTACGGATTGATAGACCGCGAAGCCACGTTCGCAGTTGGCGCGAATCGGTTTCTGGATCGCGCGTTTACACGCGTTGGCGCATGCCGAACCTTCTGCCCACGCGCGCGAGCTAAAACGGAATTTTTTATGTCCGAGTTTAGATTCGATAATAAAATATAATATTCGATCGGATATTTTCCTGCAATAATTTCTAGCGAAACGATATGCGATAATATAATTTATAGGCAGTGCTGGCTTTTATTACGAAATGCAGTCCATAATCGATGCGATTCCGTATTTCTTCTCGTGTCGTTGTAACCGCGCGACGGTCCACTTTGCCGTTTCTTTTTGCGCATATTTAGAACCGGAATGTTCTCATTCGCTCGACCGGGAGGATGGACCTCTAATTGATCAAAGTGCACTGTATATAGCTGGCGCGAGAGATTTGTCTCTTTTGCAACGCACGCCGCACCGCTGATATGTAAATAAGCGCGTGTCGTTAGCGAGGAATTATATTAAATAAGCCCTGGCCGGTTTATAAAAGGCGTATCGCGATCGCGGATGAGCGTACTTAAGAGTTAATGCAAAATAAGCGTAACGATATCAGATCTGCTCGAGAAACCCGTTCTACTCGAAAGCAAATAATTGTTGCAATTTTCTCTCGCGCACTTGCAAGGCAAATATCATGAGAGATTTTGCTCTTATCATCGATAACGCCAAGAAAAAAAAACAAGATACAGTCATAATACATACGTAATACATACACTATGTTAATTGCCATTTCGCATATTTTTATATTAAAACATTAATATAATTTTAACGTATTATGTAAATATTATTATATACACAGAAAAAAATCGAGCAAAAATCAGTTAAACACATTATAATTAATATTTGCATATTATTTACACACACACACACACACACACACACACACACACACACACACATATATATATATACATATATATATATATATATATATATATATATATATATATGTATATAAGGCAATGCTTCAATTAAGTAAACTCGTATTACAATAATCGATTGATAAGCGAAAATTGGACTCTTAAGTGAATCTTAAGCTATGTTTTCTTGGTCCTGAAGTAACGCAGTGGCTAGTCTCTCTAGATCATCATAACTAAGATTATTCACTTTGTTTTTCAAGTCCTTTATCAACTCATTGATTATGGACTCTGTCTCGGATACCGTGTAGTAATGCCTAAGCACTCGAGAAACCTCTTCTCTTAACAAATGAATGCCCGTTTTTTGCTGAAGTGAGGATCTCGCCTCACTGGAGCCTTCTTCTGCTTTCTTGATTACCAAGAGATTTAATTTACTGCCATCTTTGATTCCCGGATAAAAACTTAGAGGATTTTCATCTAAAGTTATATTAAACAAAGACAAATGTGTAATAAAAAATTGTAATCATATTGATATACAATAATATATACAAATGAGATCAGATGTTTTTACCCGCTAAAGTCTTGCCAGTAAGTAACAATCTTTGCTGTGGTACATCGATGCCCAAGAGATCACTCACTTTGTGCTTCAATTCCAACACTGTCTCTGATGGTAATATCTAAAATCATGGAATAATTTAATAAGTACGATTATCATATAGGAAGGTTCTCGAAAACATGATGCTCCAAGTTTCAAAAAAATAAAAGAAAAACTAGAACTGTTGGAAGACACTCAAGTGACGAACCATAAATCTCTAAGCAAGCGAATATTACACAGACATTGTGAATATTAATGATGGAATTTTCAAATCACAAAGGGAGCAAATCATGAATACCATGCGAAAAAACGATAGCCATGCCATACTCACATCAACGACGCACTCTTTCCCTTGCAGCTTCTTCACGATCACTTTCATGATGAACAGCTGACGAGGATCGCGAGAACGTTATTCGTAGAATGTGCGTGGCACGCGGAATCCAGGCAGGGGATCAGGTCTCTTGGAATAGCGGCGTCTTCGACTGGATCGACGAGAGCTGGCGCATCTTACTGGCGTCGAAGAGGTTATATTTCTTGTTCGTACGATTCGCGGCAACACAGTGTCATTGGCATCATCGACTATTCCTTTTTTCTTCTCCTTCTCCCTCAGGAACAACAGCACAATGCAGGTCGATATGAATGTGATCACTCGAGCGGATATCGATAGCGACAGCGGTGCCTCGTGACAATTCCTCCAATCGTCGCAGCACTTCACTGGCATGATACTTCCGTCTCCAAATCGCCCGTTGATCTT